CCTCTATGAAAGTTCTTTTTCTATTCAATGCTGCCTTTGATTTTGTTGCACTTGGGAAGTGAGGAAAAAGGGGGACAGAGGTGGGTGCAGTGGCACATGCTTGTAATCCCCCCACTTGGGAGGCTAATCAAGAGTATTGCAAGTTGGAATCCAGGTTGGGCAATTTCGCCAGACCCTATCTCAAAGAAAAATTTTTAAAAAGTCTGGAGGTGTGGTTCAGCGGTAGAGCACCCCTGAGTTCCATCCTCAGTAAAAAAAAAAAAAAAGGCAGGCAGGGGTGGATTTAAAGGACTATATTCCAAAACATTCCTTCCTAACCTTACAATTAATTTTAGGAAGACTGATTCAGCTCTAAAATCAAGTGAAATGGTTTTAAGTGTCTTTTTCTCTTTATGAGAATGTTAAAATAAATCATATTATTTAAAAATCAAACTATTTTTTAAAAAATATTTATTTTTTTAGTTTTTTTTAACAGTAGGGGAAAAGTTTAAAGTTGTAGCCTGTGTGGTAGAGCATGAAACTACCTTAGTAACTTAGCAAGGCTCCTAGCAATTTAGTGAGATCCTGTCTCACAAATAAAGGGCAGGGGATGTGGCTCATTGCACCTTGGGTTCAGTCCCTGGTAACAACAACAACAACAAAAAAGTTGTATATGTTTAAATAATTAGTACTTCAAACTTTCTTATGTGCTTTTTTAAAACAGGTTTGGATTGTCCAAATTGTTCTTCCAGAGTTCTTTTAAATGCTAAGAACAGACAGAATTATTGATAATTAGGTATTAGAATGTATTATCACCAATATATATATATATATATTTTTAGTTTTCATAGTTTCAAACTTGCAGGAATATTGCAAGAACACTACCAGGGAATAGATGTTTTCAAGACAACATGGTAAGAGTGGTAATCAGTGGGTACCTTGGTGTAACTGGGAAGAGGGGGCCACTTAATCCAAATTAGGGAGCCAGGAAATGCTTCTCTGAGAAGAGTGCGTCTGTTCTTTGCATTCAGGTGAAACTCCAAAACCATAATTTCTTAATTTTATTGTCTATTTGAGCACTAAGAGAAACTATTGGTTAGTTAAGCTTAAGGCAATAAATGCCTGTCAGCTCACAGCTGCAGATCTCTGATTACCCATTGCACAAGTGTTATCAGAGAGTGCAACTGAATATTCCCAAAGTGTTGGTTTCTCTGAGAAGCTTCGTGAGTCCATTTTTTAAAAACTGAAAACGGGCTGGAGATCCAGCTCATCGGTAACATATATGTTTAGTAAGTGTAGAGCACTTTGATTCCCCAGTACCACATTGAAAAATAATAATAATAAATAATGTACCTGGTAAAAGTTTTTTCCCTAAGTCCAAAGAGTTATACAACATGTTTTCAGTAAACAGTCTTCCCTTAACTTGACCTTGTTTTTGCTCTCCCATTCTGTTTTCTTAGGAATAGCCATTATTTTGTCCAAAGGTTATATGAGATCTTTCTCATTTTTTTTTTCTGTGTAAATGATGCATACTGTTTAATAAGTTGATGTTTTCACTTGACAGTATATCTTGGGGATTACTTTATCAATACATATAGACTTGCCTTATTTATAATGGCTACATGTTATTCTGTCCTATGAATGTGCAGTTTATTCAGCCAGTTCTTTACTAATATGCAGATTTGTTTTCCAGTATTTTGATACTATAAAAAATGTAGTAATGTCTTTGCGCATATTTCCGTGTGTTTCATTCATATATATATATATATATATATATATATATATATATATATATATTTTAGTTATAGTTGGACACAATACTTTTATTTCACTTATTTATTTTTATGCAATGCTGAGGATCCAACCCAGGGTCTCACACGGGCAAGGCGAGCACTCTACCACTGAGCCACAACCTCAGCACCCCCTCGTGTGTGTTTCTTTTAAGATTTATTCTTAGGAGTGGAATTGCTGGGTCAAAGAATGTGCAGGCTTTTGAAATTTTAGAAAATGTAATTTGATCAGCATTTTTATCCTGTAAAACAGTCTTATAACTAATGATAATGAATGGGATAAAATAGTCATAATTCATTGAAACTATGAGTGCTATGTTTTCTATTGTTACTTTTTTGTTTGTTCGTTTGTTTTTAGTTAAAGGTGGAAACAGTACATTTATTTATTTATTTTTATGTGATGCTGAGGATCGAACCCAGCACCTTGCATGTGCCAAGTGAGTGCTCTACTGCTGAGCTACAACCCCAGCCCTCTATAGTTATTTATTTTTTTGCCATTTTTTTCAGGTGTTGATGAACTTTTATTTAATTTACTTACTTATATGTGGTGCTGAGAATTGAACCCATTGCCTCCATGTACAAGGCAAGCACTCTGCCGCTGAGCTACAACTCCAGCCCCTATTGTTACTTTTTGATAGGAGGAAATGTACTGGATTTTAGAGAAGGTGACACTTGATGGTTGGGGGCACACTAGAATGTTATAGTAGGATTAATCATAATTACTAAAGTATTGCTTGGTTCATTTGGGTTGCTTGTGGCCTCCATCTTTTCCTTAATGTAGTGAAATGACTGAAACAACATGGTATTACAGTACTGGAGAGCAAAACTGCCTAATATTAACTTAATGTTACCACATGGATCATAAATTATCATAGGGACTTAAAATTCTATGCAGCATACCAATCATAACTGACCCTTTCTGTTCCCTGCCCTGTTTTGTTCTATAGATATGTGAGCAGTGGGGCTTACAGTTTTTTGACTAAAAGCTGCAATGAGAAAATTGGAATCTAGAATCTATATTTTCTCTTGGTATAGTATGTTCTTGAGGTTTCAGAGAAGACGAGGCTTCTTGTGTTTTATTGACTCTGTGTGTACTTGGTATAGAAATGATCACTTAGAATCCCATTAATAATTTAGAAATTTATTATGAAACATTTCTTCCTTATTATTTTTCATTTTGAGACAGGGTCTCTAAGTTGCTGAGGCTGTCCTCTAAATTGTAATCCTCTTGTCTCAGACTCTGAAGTCACCCCACTATACCTGGCTAAATATAATTTTTTATTTTTTACTTTTTAGTTGTAGGTGGATACAATATCTTTATTTCATTTTTTTAAAATGTGGTACTGAGGATTGAACCAAGTGTCCCATGTGTGTTAGATGAGCGCTCCACCACTGAGCCACAACCCCAGCCTCTAAAGATAACTTTTAAAAGCCTGCTTTGGATAGAAATCTTCCTAAAATGTATTACACATGTCCCTGCCTTTTAAAATAGGCTATCAACCATTATTACGATGCAATTTAATAATTTCTGGATGTTATTGAATTTGTAAGAATGTTGTCAGACTTGACTGAAGTATAAGGAAGAGCTTTTTCTCATACCAAAAGCTAATTGATGTGCTTTTGAAATTTTTCTGATTCCTTATTGTGCTAAGTTCCCCTTTTCCTGTAAGAGTCATAATTTCAGATCTGATTTGTGGTTTCTGATTTATTGTGGTTTAAGATAACCTGATAACCTGGCTTATTGAATTACATGTAAAACAAATAAAAAGACTGGGGGTGTCAAGGGGCTGCGTTGATTGGAATCCAAGGGAGTGGTCAGAAATATAAATCCCATTTAGGTGAGGACTGTTGCAACTCACTGAAGGGCATATTTAGTCAGTGTTATTGGGCTCTTTGGCTAGTTTTTAGCCACTTGGTGGTTAAAATCTGACAGGAAAAACATAGTTGTCTGAGGTTATCTAATATTTGACATCAGTGACTATGGAGGGGAAAAATGATGTTTCTAAATTAGTAGGTGGTGGTATGTTTTGTACCCCAGAAGACAGATGACGTAAAAACTCTCTTCAGGTCTGAATGCTAGAATTCTATAAAATAGGTATAGAATCTGTTGGTTGATAGAAAAAAAAGAAAGCGAGGATTGCAACATATGGAGCAAGAGCGGAGAAAGATTACATTTTAGCAATGAAAGATGGCTAAAGGGATAGTTACTGCTGGGATTTAATGGAAGAGATAATCAATACATATCACCTTGTCTTTCCCTTTCTAAACTTGGAAGTAACCAAGAAGTAGATTTTAGAACTACATTGAAAATTTAAAAATCAGCCTTATTGGTGAGGTTGACTGGAGAATGTGTGGTAGATTTGTAGCCAGTTTACTCCAAAAGGATGCTGAGCATGTGGGACACCTCACTACCAGCCCTAGTCTTTCCGGTTGCTTACTACAGGACCCAGACAAGGCTGGCATCCCACAGACTGGGCCTAGTTCCACTGATACCTCACCTCTCCTTGAGAGCTCAGGAGAAACTGGACCATGGGTGATTCATTTCTTACCCAGTTGTCAGAGGGTTGGGAGTGAGACTGGATCATAGCTAACGTCTCTCCTTGGGGAAATTAGAGGCTCTCTATTACCAGTGCACTGGTGTAGTGCTTTGTTTGCCCTTCTCTGGAGATTAAACCATGAGCTTACCTTGATAGGTAGAACAATTATAAATCTGTCCTTAAAAAACTCATAAAACTGTGCTGGGGTTGTAGCTCAGGGGCAGAATGTTTACCTAGCATGTGTGAGGCACTGGGTTCAATTCTCAGCATCATGTATCAATAAATAAAATAAAGGTCCATTGACAACTAAAATTTAAAAAAAAATCTCGTAAAACTGGGGAAGATTATTCTGGTTTTAGACGTTTGGAGGCAAAGACAGACTGGGTAATTGCCTAGCAGCCTCTCAATGAGTATTTATTTAAAAGGATTACCTAAATCTGTAAAATAACTTTTGCTTCAATTTGGTTTTGAAGTCTTACCAGCAAAAATATGATTAAGGCTTTTCTATTTTTGTAAATATTTCTCATACTGAAAGCTATAATTATTTTCAAGGTGATTTAATTCAGTAGAAGAATGTTCTTTTCTTAAAAAAAGAGAGAAAAAAAAAATGTTCAATCATACAGAGTAACAAAATGCTGATTCTGAACTTGTTTTATTTTTGCTTATTCTTCTCCCTCCCTTTTTTCCTTTCCAGAATCCTATTCTAAGAACACGGGTACTCAGGTATCCACCATGGTACTGGGTCCTGAACAGACGATGCCAGATGGTAACTTTGAGCTTTGTGTTATTATCCAATTTTTATTCAGAATTAGGCTTATGTCAAAACCAGAAATTTGCCATATTTTCCCTGTTATCTGTTCTAACAACTCCATTCAGGAGTCACATCTAGTGACTTTGGCTATATGAAATGTAGGTTTGTAACTACAGAGACCTGCCTCATCTTATTTCCAATTCAGAGTTGAACTACATTTTGTTTCACGTTTGGTTTCTATAGCATTCTTGCAAGGATAACACTGTTCCCAGACTTGGCATAATGACCTTTGGAGTGCTTTGGGCATTCATGATATTTTCTAATGTTTCAGATATGTAAGAACAGTAAAATACAGAGTGAGTCCCTTATTCTGTATTTTGTTGGAGCTTCTCAAGTGCTTTAACCAATCCTTTGTAATTCTGAACTTCCCTTTTGGAATTTCCATTCCTTTTCTATAAATATCTTCAGCCAGTTAAGTGATGTGGATGGATCACCTTCCTATACAAACAAAGCTCTTGGTTTTCTAGTTGAAGGTTGTAAGAATTTATTAGAAACATAGAGAATAGAGCTTTGTGATTCAACATGGTCATATCATGTCTGTGGTAAACTAGACTTTATATATTTCTGGTGGGTTGGCTCTTTTCTCCTGGACCTACCCTTTCTGCACTTAGGATTAATTGTGAAATGCAAGTCTGTAGGAAACACTGATATCAGGCTGAGATGGGCCCTGCTATCTTGAGTGTGCTGGCAACCCGTGACCAGCAGCTCTTCACTGTACGCCTTATTCAGGATGCAAAGTGTTCCTACTCGGTGGTTGCCCACAGCATCAGATTTTACCTTAAACTGTGGCAGGATTTTGTAACTTGTATATTTTTTGAGAAACTTGATAGAGGTGTAATGTCCAAGAATGTTTATTTGAGTATGTCCTATCAAATAATTGGGTGAGGTAGATATGTTTCAGTAGATTGACCGACTTTTTTTCTTTTAAATGTTAGGATTTTAGGTTATTAGTGGGGTTTGTCTGGGAATATTATATTTCAAGTCCTAGATGTCAATGCTTTTAGGGGAAAATGAAATGATCCTAAAATTACCAAGTAGGAGTATGGAGTAGGAAAACCACTGAGAGATTAGTGTTAAAACTGATCCAGTGCTGAGTGACAGGACGAGCAGGCTGAGGGGAATTGAATAATGTAAGGCTTTTTGTATTACTTTAGTTTTTTACCATGTGAATGTATTATCTAGTCAAAGAAAAGTTTATTTTAAAATATAGGTAATAATAAACTACAAAAAATCTATCAAGCTAGATCAGATTAGTCTCTTGTGTATTCAGGTATTAAAAATATTTCATTTTAGATGTCAGAGATTTTAAGACCCTGGGTTAGATACAGCATTATAGCACCACCAAAAAGAAAAAGAAAAAGAAAAAAGATTGAATTTCAGTATTACTTAATATGAGTTGTTAGTGTATTTTGCTCATTTTAATTCATTTCTTCTCAAATATGTTAATTCAGACAGTGCTTCTGGAGACCATGGGGACTCTGCCAGTCTTGGTGCCATCAATGCTGCCTATAGTAACTCCTCACTTCCACAGTCCACTGGGCAGTCGGAGGAGCCATTCACCACCTACTTTGATGAGAAGATTGCCATTCCTGAGGAGGAGGTTGGTGACATATTTGAACCAGCATATTATTGTCTAGGGAAAGCTTGTGTGTGAAAGATTTACTAGATGACACATGCTCAATAGCTTCAGGTCTCATTTTTGTAGCCAATCTCTGAAGACTAGATTTTTAAATTAGAATAAATAAATTATTAAGGAATATGAGGGCCTGAAACACAGTTAGTTGCTAAGTGGTACTAGGGAGCTCCCCTGTCCCCACGTGTGGCTCTTAATCCTGTTTAGATAGTGCTTGGGACCAAAGGTACTGATTTTATTAGTCTGATTTTAGAATGAGATGCTGATGGAAAGAGCATGGAAGGCAAGGGCTCTCACTTAGAGAAATGATCAGCTTGTCAATAAGAGATGGATAAGATGAAGTGAAAGTTGGACCCATTCAATATCTAACCCTTAGGCTTTGTTCTTGTGAAGCTGATATTGATTATTCATGTGTAATTCAATAATAGATAAATTAAATCAGTAGTTTGGAGGTGACACTTAGTTTGAGCTCCTCTCTTCTCTTGTATAGTATTCTTGTTTTAGCTTTCGTAAACTCTGGGCATTCACGGGACCTGGCTTTCTTATGAGCATTGCCTATCTGGATCCAGGAAATATTGAATCCGATTTGCAGTCTGGAGCAGTGGCTGGATTTAAGGTGAACATCTACATCTACCCCTGCCCTTTTAAACACAAACTATACCCTAAATCCTTTCCTCTACCCTGTCTGTGGGCTAGCAGCTTCAAGGGTTACATGCAGATACAGTTGATCCTTGAACCACATGGGTTTGAACTGCATGGATCTATTTGTATGTGGATTCTCTTTTTTGAGATTTTTGACCATTTGAAAAAACTCAAGAGATGAACTGTATAACTTAGAAATATTGAAGAAAATGTTAGGTATGTCATAAATGCATAAAATAAATGTAGATAAACTATTTTATCTACACAAAAATAAAAATACCAGATGGGAAATATATACAAATCTGTTGTAAAAAATTAAATTTATTTAGAACTTACACAGTTCATACATGCTGCTAATTACAGTTGATGGACATGCAAGGAAATATCAGGATGTGATATTAAATCATAACTACATTAAAATTAATTATGTACTTCTGCAGTAATTTTGTAGCCACCTACTTTTGCTGTTGTGGTGAGCTGAAGTGTTGTGAGTTTCCACCTAACATGCTGTGTGACTGATCATCTTTGTGTGAGCAATTCTTCTTTCTAATAAATTGTGTATTGTAGTAAAAAGTGATTTGTTGAAGTTCTCATGCATTTTTCACCATATATAATCCTTAGGCATATATGATCCTTATGCTTTGTATTGACTATTTACCTTATCAGTGAGGCTTGCAGTCAATAGGAAGTAGTTTAGTTTTGGGGGAGTCAAAGGAATATGGATTTTCATCTATACAGGTGATTGGTGCTCCTACTCCACTAGACCCTGTATTGTTTTTTTTTTTTTTTTAATCCATGTAATTTTCTTGAACAAAGGAGAAATTGCAGTGGGAGAAACAGCTCAGAAAGGAACATGGTACTGAGAGCTCAGATTATTTTGATGTTTGACATGGGCTTTTCCAGCATGTAGTGTTTCCCTTTAATATTGCCAAAGCCAAACCAAAAACAAAACAAAACAAACAAACAAACAAAAAAAAAACACCCAGTTGTCTGATGAATACTTTGGGGATTTTTTTTTGTTCTTAGCTGCTCTGGGTTCTTCTGTTGGCCACCATAGTGGGTCTGCTGCTTCAGCGCCTTGCAGCTAGACTGGGAGTGGTAACTGGGCTACATCTTGCTGAAGTGTGTCACCGTCAGTATCCCAAGGTGAGCAGTGTTCTGTCCTATTTGTGTCTCACCCATTTGGTAATCTGTGTATCTGGCAATATGTGTTGACCCCACTGTATACTGAGACATTGGAGGACTTGAACTGGAGTATTAAGGGAACTCCTGCTGCCCCTCTTATTGCCAAGCCATGTTTCCCTTCAATCTTCAAAATCTAACATAAAGTTCACTTGCTTCCAGAATGTTAGAAATTCTGCTTGAGCAAACCATTTACTCCACTTTCTGGAATCTAGCAGTGCCCATCCCATGAAGGGAAAGGGTGCTCTCCCCAAGCCCTCCATGTTGCTCCATCAGTTTTCATTATATGATTCTTCTTTATTGTTTATTTTGCTATTACTTTGAAAGAGGTCAATTTTTTCCTTTTACTACACAGCATATGTGGTAGGATTTTGGTATTTGTGAAGTATTTTTAAATTTATTGTCACTCCAGGAGTTATACTATTTTTGCAGATTCCTTTAGGTTGTTTTGGGACCTTCTTACTATGTCTAAGGCAAGAATACACTGTGTCTGGAAGACTTTTTTTTTTTTCATTGCTGGAGATCAAACCCAGAACCTTGCATATACTAGTCAAGTGTTCTACTACTGAACTACATCCCCCAGTGGTCCTGGAAGACATTTTAAATATAGCTTCATCTTTGGATAAGATACTGACCTATTTCTCATGTGTCCTTGAAGTTTAAGCTCTTTTGATGGCTACAAATATTAAGTACTCTTGCCTGTTTTTCAAAAAACCTTGGGCCAAGTGCAATGATGTATACCTATAATTCCAACTACTCAGGGTTGAGGCAGGAAGATTGCAATTTTGAAGCCAGTCTCAGCAAATTAATGAGAACCTGTCTCAAAATGAAAAATAAATACCTCTGTTTTTAGGCAGAGGGGAGTGAAGGGAGGGGAGGGGTATAGAGATAGGAAGGACAGTAAAATGAGTTGGACATTATTATCCTATGTACATTTATGATTACATGACTGGTGTGATTCTACATCATGTACCATGAGAAGAATGAGAGGTTATACTTCATTTATGTATGATGTACTAAAATGTATTCTACTATCATGTATTAGAACAAATTTTTAAAAATTTTTCAAAAAGAAAAAAAGAATGGCTGGGGATGTATCTCAGTGGTGAAGAGCCCTGGGTTCAATATCCAGTACAGAAAAAAACAAACAAAAATAAAACAACCTTGGTAATTTATAATTTCTTCTAGCTTCTCTTTCTTCATATGAAAGTATTTTTTTTATGGTTTCAGTGAGAGAACATTAATTAAATATGTGTTTTCCTACTTTACTACATGCCACCCAATTCCAACTACTTTATCCTGGTCTTTTTGCTTATCTGTTTTCACTTGCCATGTGTATTATTATTATTTTAGAAATGACACACCCCCACCCCCAGGCTTTTCATATTTGTTTTGTTAACTCCAGCTATGGTCAAAATAGGTGTTTTCTTTTGCAGTCGTTTTCTTTTCTCTCTTGACCCTTATACCATATTGGCATACTATTCTTCCCTAAAGCTTTTTAGAATTATTTTTAGGCAAGAAATAGAATGGTAATTAGTGAATAGAATTCCATTCCTATTTTAAATGGGAAGGAAAAAGAAAAAAGTAAAATGAGTTGCCTTGCTGACCTTGGTTCACATAGTCCAAAACCTGGAAGCACATTTTCCTTTTCCTTCTGGGGACCACAGTGCAGTGATACACTGAATAGGGCCAGGTTCTGGTGATTCCTCTCCAGTAGAGAGCCTTATAAAGGATCATCTTTGGCAATCCTTTAGACTAGAACTACAGAAAAAGTTCTTAGAAATGAATAATCAGAACCACTTCTTTCACTCTTGGCTTTGTAGGTCCCACGGATCATCCTGTGGCTGATGGTGGAGTTGGCAATCATTGGCTCAGATATGCAAGAAGTCATTGGCTCAGCCATTGCCATCAATCTCCTGTCTGTGGGAAGGTGAGGGGGTTTTCCCTGGAAAGTTAACAGTGTTTTCCTGGATTCCAAAGTAAAGGCAAAAATGAAAACCCAACTCATTTTCAATTTTCAAGATTCAACTGAAGTATTATTACTTTTGTGGAGCCTTTCTGGAACCACCCTCCTCTCCCCCAGCAGTCTTCTGTTCCCATGGTGGGTTATACATACTTCTATTATAGAGTCTGTGGTATTTTGTATTTTGATTGTTTATTTGTATGTCATTTTATCCCACAGATAGTGAGCTCGTTGAGGATAAGACCTATACTTTACAGATTCCTGACCAAAAAAATCTGTCTCAGTACATGAGTGAACATGCTTAAGTTAGTGCTCTGATCCTCAACTATCCAAGGCCTGGCTCCCTGACACTGTCCCTCCTCCCCTACATCCTAGCTTCTTTTAGGTGTTCCGTATCAGTGGGAGGAAGGTGTTTTTCAATGTTTCTTTCCTTTAATCTCCATTTCTGATCTCTAACCTAGGGTTCCCCTGTGGGGTGGAGTTCTCATCACCATCGCAGATACTTTTGTTTTTCTCTTTTTGGACAAATATGGTAAGGCGAGTGGGAATGAGGATGGCAATCAAAGGAGCCACTTTCCATTACATGGCTGCTGGGGAAGTGCCTTCTTTGAGCTCACTGCTGCATTTCCCCTTTAGGCTTGCGGAAGCTAGAAGCATTTTTTGGCTTTCTCATCACAGTTATGGCCCTCACATTTGGATATGAGGCAAGTGTTACATGCTCGTCATTAGTTTTTTGAAACAGGTTTTGTTTTGTGTCTAGTCTTTCACTGTAAAAGACAGTAACACTGCTAGGATGGTTTAATGGTATTGCATGTTTCAACAAAAAGCCAGTTCAGCCCTGGGCTATTTATTTTGAAGGAATATAATCTATAGTCAATATCCATGTGCAGGAAGGCCTTGAGAGATTCCTAGTCCAAAATGACGAGATGCTATAGAATTTTCCAGAATAGGCTCCCTGGTGCCAAATTGGCCATCCTGACAGTAGAACAGCCTTGCAGAGGGTTAGGGAGGGGTTTGCATGGTTATTCTTATTGCTAGCCAAAAGTGGTTCTGTTTTTGTTTATTCAGTTTATATTAATTTCAGCTTAAATTTTCTTTGTATCCAAAGAGTTAATGAATTATAGGTGATACAGTGAATATTTCTTGGTTTATTTTGTGCCCCAATCAGATATTCTTAGAAGTCAGTACCATTATTTGCATTAATAGCACTTTTCTCTGTCTAGTTGTTGCTTACTGGCCTGGCTAAACTTTAAAAACTGTATCTAATCTATGAGTTGATTATGCAGTTTGGCCTAAAGTTTCCAAGAAAAATGCTGAATCTGGGAAAAGGATGTATGAGAAATTTTTATGAATGAGACTTTGACTATACACTGTGCCAGAAATAGGTGATTTTTAAGTTAATGTAAGTGAACAGACACATCGTAAGTGTTAATAATCAAGAATTGAATTTCTAGAGAATCTAGTCTTGAATTCCCTGATTCCCTGGCAGTAAGCCTCATTTGTTGCTTGATATTTGTGTGTGTGTGTGTGTGTGTGTGTGTGTGTGTGTGTGTGTTGGGAATCCAGGGCCTTGCACATCCTAGGTAAGCATGCTGTGCTCATTCACTTCCCCTCTGTTTTTTTGTTTGTTAATATTTTTTAGTTATAGTTGGACACAATACCTTTATTTCACTTTTTTATTTGGTGCTGAGGATTGAACCCAGGGTCTTGCACATGGAAAGCGAGCGCTCTACCACTGAAACACAACCCCAGACCCCTGTTTTTGTTTTTAAGGAGATAGGTCTCACTATGTTGCCAAAGCTGGCTTCTAACTTCTGAACTAAACTAATCTTCTTGCCTTAGCCTCCCAAATATCTGGGAACTAAGGCATGTGCCAGTGTTTTTAGCTGTTGCTTAGTTTTTTGAGGATCTGTATCCTTCACTGTTTTAGATGATTATTGTAGAAGGTGTTGCAAGGAGAAAAGGATACCACGAGCTCCCTAGTACTATGTTATGCTCCTGTGTCATGTTTCATGAAGGCTAATAATTGTTATGTTGATATGTAGTATATTACAGTGAAACCCAGCCAGAGCCAGGTTCTCAAGGGCATGTTCGTGCCATCTTGTTCTGGCTGTAAGACCCCGCAGATTGAACAGGCTGTGGGCATCGTGGGAGCTGTCATTATGCCACACAACATGTACCTACATTCTGCCTTAGTCAAGGTGAGCAAAAGCCCTTATGTCATTGCCCATCTGGATAGTTAATGAGATCTTTTCCTTTATTACAAGGGACAGAACTTAGCTTGCAATTCCTAGAATCCTGAAGGAGCAAGGCTGGAAGTTTATAAACTGCATGTTCTTGGGCTGTGTTTTTATCTCCAGGGCTAAGTGATCTTGTTTAAATCTCCAGGGCTAAGTGACCTTGCAGTCAGCAGTAATGGTGCCCAATCATACTTTATCAGTTAATCTTATGCAATCTTTTGCTGGACGATTTCAGAGACCTTTATAAGTCAGGTTGTACATTTTTAGGACCGAAATCAGCCTGTTTTTGTAGGTCGGTGGTCCTTGCTGCCACAATATCTCAGAGTCAGTAGTACTTAGTCACTGGTCCCTATTTGGAAAATGCACAGTGCTTTCCAAGGGAATGGAGTTTTTAATTGCTTAGTGAACTAGGATATAGGTAAGTCTTGGGTCTCCCCCATTTCATCTAGTCAGTTGTTTGCCCTCTGAATCTCTCTGCTGACATTTCAGGACTGATATCCAAAGTCCTGAAATACTCCCAAGAAACTCATTTCCATGTGCTCCATAAATGAATGCTGCTGTTATCTCCCTAGTCTAGACAGGTAAACCGGGCCAATAAGCAGGAAGTCCGAGAAGCCAACAAGTACTTTTTCATTGAATCCTGCATTGCCCTCTTTGTTTCCTTCATCATCAACGTCTTTGTCGTCTCAGTCTTTGCTGAAGCATTTTTTGGGAAAACCAATGAGCAGGTGGTAAGTAAGCCTGGGTCAGGGGTGGTCTTGAGTTTTAGGGCAAAATGCAGACTGGAATGGGGTTAGGGAAATACAACATTGACTCAAGAGTCCAGGAAAATGGTTCTTTGGCCCCCATGCTATACTCCACAACCCCAGTCACTGTGCACCAGTCAGCCTATAGTGTGGTGGCTGAAGAAGCCTGGACCTATCTGTTCTCACTTTTGTCTGGGAAGGAAGCTGGCCTCAGCTGTCATGTAGGTGGCTTCAGTCTCTTCAGCTCTTTGTTATTCCCTTTTGTTTCCTATTAACTTCTGCCTGCTTGCTGGTCCGTCTTGCCATTTGAGATGTCAGCTTGGGAAGAGTTGGCAAACAGGAAATAGAAAGTGTGACCAGGATAGGCTTTGTTTTGTCATTTTGAATTCTGTGTCCAGATTTCTGACTGCCTATGTAGTTTTGACCCTCATTTATTTCCTGCCAGCAAGACCTCTGACTGCTGGCTTTGCTTTGACTAAGGGCTTCCTGTCCTGGGTGTCCTTTCATGTTTGAAGCCTTCTTGAGGGCCTCTCCTCTAGTCCTCATTAAAATGCCCCAGTGTTTATATATTGCCATATCTGTTCTAACTCAGTAAAGACTTTGATGACATGCTCTTTGAAAGTGTGGAATGTGGAAAAATTGTGGAGGAGGATCCCAAGTAAGAGTGCTGCCTGTCTCTGTCCCCATCACCACCTGTATCCAGGGTTTTTTTTCTCCAGCTATGTATTATTATTATTATTATTATTTTATTTAGTTGTAGATGGGCCACAATACCTTTGTCTATCTATCCATCTATTTATCTATTTTTTATGGTGCCAAGGATTCAACCCAGTGCCTCACACATGCTAGGCAAGTGCTCTGTCACAGAGCTACAACCCCAGTCTTCTACCTGCCTCTTGAGAGGACATGTATGTGATGTGTTGGAGAGCTTTTCTCATCTGGTCCTGGCCTGTGAAATAAAAGTTGCTCTTAAACATTTTTGGGTTCTAGGTTGATGTGTGTAAAAATAGCAGCAGTCCCCATGCTGGCCTTTTCCCTGAAGATAATTCAACTCTGGCTGTGGATATCTACAAAGGGGTAAGCCTCTGGAGGTTATGTTTTTTTTCTTTGTTTGTGGCTCAATCTTCTCAGCATATTTTCTGGTCTTAGTGACTTCACTTCATTTCTGAGCAGGTTTATCTCCCCTGGAGTATCATTTATTTTAAAGGTCCAGATGCCAAACATTTTGGATTACATGGGAAGGAATAGAGGATCAGTTGAAAAAGGTGGACTGTATGCCAGCTGTTCCCAAACTCATAGTAATAGTACATTCTTTTACAGGATGTTAATTGGGGTGACTATAAAAAAATGTAGTCAGGCGTGGTAGTACATGCCTGTAATCCCAGTGGCATGGGAGGCTACGACAGGTGGATTGCAAGGCCAGGCTGGGCAACTTAGCGAGACCCTATCTTAAAATAAAACTGGGAATGTTGCTCAATGGTTGTGTGCCCTGAGTTTAATCCCCAATACAGTTTTTTAAAAAAGGAATAAAGAAAATGTCCCTTCTAAGGTCTCTCCGTAACCCCCTTTTTTTCTTAGTTATAGGGGATTTCTGTCCCATTAAGTGGTCCCTTTGTGACCTTCCAAGAGTTGAATATATAGTATACAGCATCTCCCATATTTATTTGACTTGTTCCTGCACTTTTGCCATTTTCTAGAAGAGTGTGTTAAGGAGAACAATTTGGGAAATGTGGTTAGGCTTATGTTTTTTCAGAATTTAAGATGGTAGATGGAGATCAAGACTTTAGACGCTTAGAGAAGTGAAGAGAGTAGACTGAGGAATGAAGGACCATCCAGCAATTGTTGAGACTGAAAGCCTCTAGAATCAGATCAAGACCTGAGCCTACTTTTGGGACAGTGCCTAGCATAGTTTCTAGTGAGGTGATTCTTGGCAAAGAAGAGGGAGAAATGTCACAGAGAAATGGTGTTTTGGGTGTTTTCTAAGCAGATGACTGACACAGGCATATCTTCTCCCTTGCCTGTCCCAGGGTGTTGTGCTGGGATGTTACTTCGGGCCTGCTGCACTCTACATCTGGGCAGTGGGGATCTTGGCTGCTGGACAGAGCTCCACCATGACAGGAACCTATTCTGGTCAGTTTGTCATGGAGGTATGTGCTGCTGTTGAACAGAGGGAGACGACTAATCCTTAGATATTTCTTGGTCCCTTCTAAGGTCTCTCCATAACCCCCTTTTTTCTTCTTCCTGGTCCAGCCTGTTATCCTATTCCTGTGTTTTCTTTCAGGGATTCCTAAACCTAAAATGGTCACGTTTTGCTCGAGTGATTCTGACACGCTCTATTGCTATCATCCCCACTCTGCTTGTTGCTGTCTTCCAAGATGTAGAGCATCTAACAGGGATGAATGACTTCCTGAATGTTCTGCAGAGCTTACAGGTGAGCAGGGTCTGGGGAAACTCATCCCACATAGTCAGATAATATTAAATACTGCCCTAGTGTAGCAAGCCTTGTGTTGGGTTTAGTGGGGAAATGGAGATGAAGAAAGAGGCCTGGGTCTTGTAATGCAGAAAATGTATATGAAATATTGCCACCTAAGTAGGTTTTAGGAATGGTTTTGTTTTTCAGTCCTATCGAGTGGGAATTGAACTATATACTTAATATATTGAACTATATACTTAAATATGGAACACAAAATTGTAGTTCATTAATCTAGCAAGCATTAAGTGAACTATGGGACATGGTGGTATGTCATATGTATGTTAATAAGACAAGTCAGATGCAGTATTTGTAAAGACACTTAGATCATCATTCATGCTAGGTTAATGACAACTTGGCAGATTTCAACAATTTTTGAAGCATGTCGGGTTGATAGTTATAACTATTTCTCGTGAAGTAAGAGAGGCCTGTTTTATATTTTCCTTGCACTAACTGTACTGTTCTGTTTTCCAGCTTCCTTTTGCTCTCATACCCATTCTCACATTCACAAGCTTGCGGCCAGTAATGAATGACTTTTCCAATGGAATGTGAGTGTACTCATCCTACTTCTACCATGAGGATGCTGATATGTGGGAGAAGGGCATCAATAGTTCACTGAGAAATGAGTTATATAGGGGAACTATATGCTTTGAGAGGTGATTGCTATCTGCTTCCTCTTTGGCTTAGAAAATGGAGAATATAAATATAGTAAAGGCAAGAAAACCCTTTTTTAGTTCAGTTTTGGGGCTTTAACTCTTCAGCTTTAGCCACTGATCTTAGTAAGGCATAAGTTAATGCCTTTTATATATACCTTAAGTGGATATGGAATATTTGAAATGAATTGTTGCATTTCAAAGGACTCTCCTCAGATGGCTCTTTGTATTTCTAAGCCTTGTTACTTTTCTATAGTCTTAAATATTAGGGTTTACTTAATAGTACTTTTTTCTTTCCTTCTTCCTATAATTGTCTGACTTATTTAAGCAAATCTGGGACATAGTAAGAACTATTTTTCAGTTCCTTTTGCAGTGACTCTAACTCTTGCCCTGTTTATCCCTCAAAATGCCAATTCCTTTTCTGTCTATGGCCAGACTGAATTTTTCCACCAGTGACTGTGTTGATTCTTTCACAGAGGCTGGAGGATTGCTGGTGGGATCTTGGTCCTTATTGTGTCTTCTATCAACATGTACTTTGTAGTGGTTTATGTCCAGGAACTAGGGCACATTGTGTTGTATGTCGTGGCGGCTGTGATCAGTGTGGCTTATCTGGGGTTTGTGTTCTACTTGGTAAGTACAGTCTTGATGAGGCAGGGGCATGGGTATCTGGGATGGTAGAAGTCAGCTACCTGACATTCAGAAATGAATAGACCCTAAAGAGCACAAGGCACTCTGCCTCCTGGTCATTGAGGTAGTTTAATAATCAGCTATTTATATTTCTAATCATTTTATTTACTTTGGTTCCTCAGGGCTAGCATTATTCTGTTTCTAACACTTGTTTATAGTCTTCTTAATTTTTAAAAAGAGGGTGTAGTAATGTTTGAGAAAATTAAAAAAAGGTAGCAGTATATAGAGTGGAGAGTAGTAGAAGATGGAATTGAAGGGGACTGAGCAGTGAGATTTAGAGCACTGGGGTGGGATACAGATAGGCTCATGGCTTGGCACCGCTCTACTACTTACTGTTTAAGGAAGTAAGTAAATAGTATTCTCCCTTTGAATTATTCTGGAGTTATCTGGAAAATCCTGGTTATAAAACTATAGCAACAATGCAAAAAGAATGCAAAATTATTTGTACCCAAATTATCCAAAAATTTTTTTTAAAGTCTGGAGTAAATTCTGTAAAAATGATAATTGTAGTTGTCTTGGGAACATGAAATTATGTATTCTGTTTTCCTGATCTTTAACATTGCTAATATTAGTGAAAATTGCTATAGTTATAGCAATAACAAAAAATCTACCTCCCTAGTTTAAACAGGTGTCTCTGGAAAACACGAGGGTTGGGAATAAGAAGCAGCAGGATTTTTGCCATTTCTGCTACAGAAATGGTTAAAAATGGAGGCTGGAGATGTGCTATTGATCTCTAGAACATTAACCTATTCTTCATGCCAGTGTTTGCCACAGGTTAGGTATCTGACTGAAAAAACAACATTAGTGAATATTGGAAAAGTGTGTCTTAGATTGGAATATCCATTCTCTTTCCTTTCCAAATAAACCTCAGTCAAACAAGGGTTATTGTGACCCTAGGATCTAGGAAATCTAAGTAATTGAATATATCCTTGACTGCAGTTGCTTTGAAGATTTCCTTATTAGTCAGGGGAATCCTTCCTTCATATAAATTGTGTATGAAGCTGCTGAATTGTCCTTAGTCAATGTGAGACTGCTAGTGTGATTGTTGAAGTTCCATTTTCCAAGGTGAAGATTTCTGCTGTTTATCTCCCAAATAGAACTTCACGGAGAAGCTCAGAAGACTATGCCATTGTCTTTGTCAGTTATTCTTCCCATTCCTTATGATGGGGAGTTGCAGGAGACTGAAACAAAGTGGTCATCAGGGTTAGAGAAATAAGCCACAGACAGAGCAGCAGGAACAGAGAGAACTCAATATTTAAATAGCAGGACAAACTTGTTGAGGAAGGCAGATTCCAGGAAGTTTTGAAGGGGGCATGGGGTTGGGAGAGTTAGTTGGGCAACCTTAGTTGTAGAAATCCCCAAGGTGGACAAAGTTGGATGTTTAAGGAAGGGATCAGTTGCATCTGAGCAGAACCTTATGAGCAGTCATGCTGGGTGAGAGGGTTTTTCACAGAGCCTGGTGAATGATGATTGTGTTTTATCTTCTAGGGTTGGCAATGTTTGATTGCACTGGGCATGTCCTTCCTGGACTGTGGTCACACGGTAAGCATCTCTAAAGTCCTGATGACTGAAGAAGCCACCAGTGACTATACTAAATAAACACTGGATCAGTCTGTCTGTCTTCCGCAGGTAGCCATCAGAGCCAGTGTGTTTCTATGGTTTACTGTGTGAACATAGCCACAAGTATGTGCTGTTGCACAGACTCAAATTCTGGTTGGAAAAGCCTTTGTTTCATGTTCATTTGAAAGATGAAGGGTTTTTTTTTTGTTTGTTTGTTTGTTAATGTTGTTTGTTTGTTTCCCTTTCTGACATCCTACCTGAGATCTAAGAACTGGATTAGGTAGGATCTTTGAAAAGTTAATATTTGCTGCTGTAATTCCAACACTAAATTCTTAAGTAGCTACCCAAGAGCCAGTTTATTTTAGCCTTTTGAAGGAAAATTCTCATGCATAATTCTAAACCAGCTTTTATGTTTTTTAAAAAGTTAGAAATATAGTAGAATTTTTCATAATACCAAGTACAGATGTGGTAGTTTTGTAAGTTTTGTTTATCAGAAGATAATGGATTTGAGAGGCTGAGAAATATTTTTATGCATATCCTTTCAATTATTTTAATTATAAAAATCTCAACTAGTGATTTCATCCATATAAAATATAAAATCAAGATAGCTCTGCCTCTGTCAGGCTCAGGATTCTTTTAACTTTCTTCCACTTTAAGTTTCTCAGCAGAAGTTAAGTGGGGTGGGAATGCATAATGAAGGTAAAAAATGAACAAACAGCAAAACCCACCTGTACCTGGTGGTTACTAATCATGTCTGAAGGTTTTTCTCAGAGATTGAAAGGTTACCAGGATTTTTGTGGGAGTCTGAGGTTAATAATACCTCTTACCACAGAACTTTCCTGACGTTTACTCTTGAGTACATGTAGTTATAAAAACGTCACCCTCCTCCTCTAACAGGGAGGTGATAGAAAAAGATAGCAGCATTTATAAACTGACTTTCTCATGAGACTTTGGGGGTGGGGAGAGAAGATTCAGAAGGGAAAGAAGAACCATCTGCTTTATTCCTGAAAGACACCTGTTGCCCAAATCATGTTTCTCTGATGCAACACTCAGCTGCATGTTCAAGATGTCTTGCAAAGCAGTCTCAGGAGCTATATGGACCTAACCATTACAAAGCATGCTGTGTCAGCAAGTCAGTAGTTGTCACTGTGGTTCCAAGTTCCCTCAGCAAGGTGGCACCAGGCTACCTCTCTTCAGCAGTTCCCTCAGAGGGAAAACAGACCACATGGCGGAGCTCTGGAGTTAGAGGAAATGGGTGTCTTCAGCATGGAGCTGCTGCTCTTTCAGCCACTTCTGACATTTTTACTTGTGGAGCCTAAGGCTGTGTGATTCTGTCAAATCAAATCACATTTGTCTGTTGGAGATCAATAAGCAAAAGTGTTCCGAGGCCATAATCTGGTGAGAACGGTAATGGGAATGACATGGAAGGACTTCTCAGGTTTGGAGCTTTCCTTCTGGAGTCCCGGTTGATTGACGTTCTCTGTTCATCTGAGTCTACAAAAGATTCTTACTGACATTTTGCACATAGTCAAAAGCACAGACAGTCTTTTATGAGGCATTAAGGGTAAAGTACTGTGTTTCACTGACTGTCATTTTTCTTTGCCCCTGCGGTAATGCAGTAAAGAATCACAGATGACCGTTCCACTAACTGTTCCCCCTCATACCTGCCCTCTTCCCCTACTACCATCATTCTCCAAACTGGTCCTAAAGTTATTCTGACAATATCAAGATCTGACATGTTAAGCTATTATTTGGCTGCAGTAGGAAAAATCCAAAATTATATATATATAAAAATCCTTGTAAAGGTTGTATAGTAACATTTGCCTTTGCTCTGGGCCTGGAGGGTCCAGCCAATCTTAAATTTATAAACATTTAGGAATCCAGGCAAAAGCTAATATTCTTATTATTCGACTTATAATGATCGAATGTTTCTTCCCAGTTAAATTGTATTTTATAGTGCTATGATTATACTGTTTACAGCATCAGAAACAGTATCTTAATTCATTCTGTCCTCACAGAGAGAAGGTATACTTCAACCAGTACTTTGAGTGTTATAACCAATGTGTAGAAATTTAAGTCCTCCAATGCCAGCATGTGCATTTTTATTTTTGGCAGTATGTTTTTGTGGAATGTTTAAGGATATACAATTGTACTTTTTCAAAGTGGTTCTTATTGTCCTTAAATGTGACTTAAATGTCCATAAATGAAATAATTGTACTGCTACAATATGCTGGAAATTAATAGGCATGGTGAAAAAGTTTAAATTTGGCTCCTGTGAGGTTCTAGGAGCTAGTGATGTTAGAAGTGGTTAAAACCAAACTTTTAGTACCCATTTAACAATATGTGAACTTGATTTGTAATTAAATTTTTTTTTCCTTTTCCAATTTGGTTTCCTGGTTATTGTTTGCTTTTATTTTAAATCTTGAAATATTTTATTAATGGTGTCTCAACAACTTTGATATAGAAATACTGAAATATTAGTTACCATCTGGAATGACACACTAAACCCATACAACTTAGTGCTTCTCTCTTTGAAGGGATAGAGACATTAAATGGATTTAGTCACCAAAAGGTTGGGTTTAGAGCTGGGCACAGTAACACATATTGGTGATCCCAGTAACTCAAGAGGTTTCAACAGTAGAACTACAAGTTTGAGGCCAGCCTTGGCAATTTAGCGAGACATTGTCTCAAAATAAAAATATAAAAGGGCTGTGGATGTAAGTCAGTGGTAGAGCACAGCTGGGTTCAATCTCCATTACTGAAGGAAAAAAAAAAAAAAAAAAGATGACTGGCTAGTTTTCACCAAGACACTAATTTCTGTTTACACATCTAGGATTACAAATTTGGGCTTGTAGATTGTTTGGCTATACCTAAAAGTCACACCTTTACCATATTTAAACTTGAAGTTTAATCCTACCTTTCTGTATTATAAGGTAAATATTTGTCTCTTTTTAGTCTTGTCTCGCCATTTAAGTAGTTTTACATTCTGTATTTGCTGCCACCAAAAATTAGTATGAGGAAAGAAACCAAAATTAGATTAGAAACAAATGAGAAGGCTGGGGATGTGACTTAGTGGTAAAGTGCCTACTCGCATGTGAGAGGTCCTGGGTTTGATCCCCAACATCACACACACACACACACACACACACACACACACACAAAATAAAAACTGGATTGTCAAATCAAACATGATAGTGCATGTGTGTAATTCTAGCTACTGAGGAGGCTAAAGCAGGAGGATTGCAAGTTTGAGGTAACAAGTTTGAGGATTATAAATTTGGGCAACTTAGTGAGACCTTATCTCAAAATGAAAAATTTAAAAAGGGCTCAGAGTAGGGCTGGGGTTGTGGCTCAGTGGTAGAGCGCTTGCCTAGCATGTGCAAGGCCCTGGGTTCTATCCTCAGCACCACGTAAAAATAAAATAAAAATATTGACAACTACAACTAAAAGATAAATATTTAAAAAGAAAAAAGGCTCAAAGCATAGCTCTGTGGTAGAATGCCCCTGGGTTCTAATCCTCAGTACCGTGTAAACATGGACATTTTTGGCAGCTCTGACATAAATGGAAATATTGGCACCCTTTGTTAAAGGCAAAGCTCAGGCATAACAAACTTCTGGCCCTGTCCCCAGACATATGATGGGAAAATCTAAGTCAGCACTTGATTTATCCCAAGAGTGTCATTAGAACTTCATTTTTCCTTTGTGTTTAAAGCTATCTCTGCCTTCTTATAGGAGTTGAATACCCTAAGTAATCCTGTAGAATTTCTCCATATTGGTGTCCTTCACTTAGTTCTCTGTTCTTAATTTTGGTTTATTCAGAACTAATAGGATACAAAACAATTTGAAGACCCCAATTTGAGATATTTCCTCTAACTCTGCCCTTCAGAATACTTTTGCCTCTTCATTGTTAAGACAAATGAATCTAAGCATATTAGTCTTGCCCAGCACTTTAGCATATGAATTGAATGTAAGAATGGCTAAATTATTACCATGTGCTAGTTCTGGTTTGAGCATTTGCGTTGTCTCATTCAAACCTTATAACAAAGAGGATTAACTTCTATATAAATGAGGCAAATGAAAAGCCAAAAGTAACTCACCTGTATGACATTGCTAGTAAATGGGCAGTGGGCAGTTTCTCTTTTAATGTCAGAGCCCACATGTTCATCTCAAACCATCTTGTATTATAGTGTACTATTCATACTGGATTAAGACACCAAGTTTTGTTTAGCAACACCAACTCATCAAATCATTTGCTTGATACTCTGATTAATGCTTGAATATGATTTAGATCAGAAGTTGCCAACTGGTAGACTTTGGCTGTGCTAATTTTTTTAGTTGTAGATAGACACAATACCTTTACTTATGTCTATGTGGTGCTGAGGATTGAACCCAGTGTCTCATGCATGCTAGGCAAGCACATTACCTCTGAGCCCCAGCCCCAGTCCCTGTGTTAAATTTTAAGAAGTAAGTTTGAATGCTTTGGGCAGGCTTAGAAAATGGTCAGGGCCTTTTGTGGTCTTAAACTGATAATAGCTAAAACCTAACAATAGGTTGACTCATTCACGTTATCTGTCACCATTTTAGCCTATTCTTGTGCCACTGAGCCCCATTTCTCAATGTCTCATAACCACATGACAATCTTCAGTGAAGGAGTTCTAAGTCATCTAAGAGATAACACTGTATGGTGTCATTGAACTATAAATGCAGCCCTTGCTTACTGCATTTTGAGGAAGCCCACTGTCTTTGGGAAAGGCTTCAATGAATTGTCAATGTGTCTTGACAATTGCTGTTAGTTAGTGAAACTTGTGATATAAAGCACTAAAGTGAGGAAGCAAGCTGGTCTGAAGAACTGTTTTCCTGCCCTAAGGCCAGGGTCATCCAGCATCTTCCTAGCCCACTAGTTGAGAATGGCTCAGTGCTCGGCACCATCTGGTGTATGTCATCTTTTCACCTTCATTGTGATGACTCCTGTGAGGTTATACAGGGCAATTAGTAATGTGAAATTTGTGTATATTTATTAAAATAGAGTAGTATGAGAAAGGATATTACTGTACTTGTCATTTTCCAATGTAACACTTATTTCCATTCTACCAATCAGTAGAATAAGGCTCCAGAAGGATACATTACATGACTAGCATCATAGGAAGAGATGGAGTTTGGGCTTGATGCCAACTCCAGGGCCTTTTCCTCTATCCTGTAATAGCAATAATTCTTTCTATTTATAGTCTGCATTCTGCATTTAACTTACAGGCTGTTGGTCCAGGGCAGTGACGTTCCTGAAGTCCTGAGTAATAACCGAAGGCTAAAATGAGACTCAGTGACTGTCTCAAGTTATATTCAGGGGAAAGAAAAAGAGTGAAGAAAAACTATAACTTCCCAGATCTCAACACAAATCATCTGGATTCAGTTCTGTACTAGTGGGGTGTGGAAATGTTTAAAAGCAGCTGAGGTGAAAGCTGGTCATGGTGGCACACACCTGCCTCAAATTTTGTTTTTAAAATATTTTTTTTTAGTTGCAAATGGACACAATACTTTATTTATTTGTTTTTATTTTTATGTGGTGCCGGGAATCGAACCCAGTGCCTCATACATGCTAGGCAAGTGCTCTACCACTGAGCCACAACCCCAACCCCTGTCTTAAAATTTTAAAAATTAAAAAATAAAAAGGCCTTGGGAGAGTGGCAGAGTGCCCTTGGGTTTAACCCCTGTTACTGGGGAGAAAAAAAAGCAGCTGAGATGACCCTTATTCAGTTTGGCAAAGATTTGAGACCCATAGGTTATCTTGTCTGTCATTACATTATCTTTTTGTTTTTAAGTAAAAGGCTTTTCTCTGTTTGGGTGTCAAAGGATAATGGGGTCAGGATTACAATGCTCAGGAGTTAGACAGTTTGAAATCTGATTTCCAATACATACAGAATGAAAATACAAAACAGTGCATGTTTGCTCTCATCCTAGTCTGAAGTCCCAACGTGGGGCAGTGTGCCTCTTTTACTGAGGACATTGGCACTATCTTTATCCTTACCTATCTCAGCAGCTCTATCATTTTAAATATCAGAAATCATGCGTTAACTATGTCTTTTCTGAAAGAAAAACATAGCAGTACTAAAAAAGGTTTAAATTAATATGCTGACTATAGGTACTTAAATACCCATTTCAGTATTTAACTACTTGAAAATCAGTCTAATTCTATTTCACCTTTTTGTCCTTAGTACCACCTGGGATTGACAGCTCAGCCTGAACTCTACCTTCTAAACACCGTGGATGCTGACTCCCTTATGTCAAGATGACTAACAGCCTGAGAGACTGTATAAGAACCATTTTCTCTAAGCCCTATTGTGCCAGCTGTCTTAACATACCTCTGTTAGTTTGGAGGTGAGTTTTGTTCATTTGAACAAAGGCAAAGATTTCCTCATGGGAATGGGATTAAAAACTGACAACTATAAATTTAGGTCATCGACCCACCCACCTCACAACAAACAATAGCCAGAGTTAAATGATTACCTGTGCTGGCCACATACCCCTATGGGGTGTGTCTTGACTTCTGGGATTTAAAAAATATATATCTATATATATTTATGTAAACCTGAACATCAGTTTGGGTAAGATTTTAATGTTATATAAAACTAATAGATATTTTGTATTTTTTTAAAAAAAAAACGTTCTTCAGGTAAATTACATCTTCAGATCACAAGTGAGAAGGGAAAGGAAATGTTCTTTTTCTCACAATGAACTGATCCAATTGACTGTCTTATAAAGTGATACTTTACTATGCCAGTTACATTTTACTTTGATTGTAATCAGCCACATCACATACTTGGTATCTACTAATATTAACCATCATTTCTAAAGAAATCATTTCTTCTATTTGGTGATCTTATTTAACCCTGGTTACCTGCATACTTTGTAATTAGTATTGTCTTTGTTATCATTTTTCTTGAAATTTTTTATAGTTATCAAACCAGGGGTACAATGTTATTTGTCAACCTGCTTAATATGTAGTAACAAATTTAGAAACCATATTTTAAGTGATAATCAATTGTTTTCCCACACTGTAGTGTAACTCAGCCTATTCTAGCATTTGAGTTTTAGGTAGAAAAAGAAGAAACTAATAGCATTTCACTCTTCTAAGTCCTGACACAACACAATCAAAGTATTAATATTCTTTCTAATATTTGTATAATTCTACAATGTCTTTTCTTTCCACTTTTCCAATTAATACTCCAAATACCATTTCTAGGTCCAAAGTCTGTTTCTAGGAGTAGCTAATATTTATTTTGTTGAATGTCCTAGGGAATGCTAAGCATTTCTTTATAAGATATTTGTACCAAGAAGTATGAGATTACTACTAGACTGGGATTTGGAAAATTAGTCTACATTATCACAAACTGCCTGCTGACATGTAGTTAGTAAATTTTTTTGATCCCTGATACTATTAATTTTCTTTCTTAAAATTTTTATAATGAAAAAGTTCTTTGATTTAAATTTGGGCTAGGGATATAGCTCATTGGTAGAGTGCTTGTCTAGCATGCACAAAGCCCTGGGTTTGATTCTATCCAGCATGCTTACATGCATACATATATAAATAAAAGTTTTATCATAATTATCTGATTGGAGAGTCAGAAGATATGCCACACTGGGCCCATATTCCTGCATGGAAGTGCACTTGGCTAGAACTGAATGGCAGCTATCTTTTTTCCAATGCCATATACCCCAGGGTGGCATATACCCCAGATATCACTCATTATTTCCTTCTGATTTCCAAGGTTGAATCTGCAAACCCTGCAGCCTTTGTGTGACTTTGAACTTTACTTTCCTCTTCAGCATTAAAGTGAAATGTCTGACCTCTCTGCCTTATTTTAAAACTTATTACCTGCTGGGCTTGATGGTGCTACTCAGGAGGCTGAGGCAAGAATATTGTAAGTTTGAGGCCAGCATCTTAGGAAAACTCTCTGTCTCAAATTGAGGATGCAGCTTGGTAATAGAGTGCCCCTGGGTTTAATCCCAAGTACCACAACAAATCAAAACAAAACCATAAAAACTTATTACCTTTTTTTGGTTTTTCTTTCTCTTTCTTTTTTAATCCATACATCGCCTACCTACATTATAATGGTTTGGCCTTCTAAGCATCAGGGAGTTTTCTTAAATGACTCTTTAAAATTCCCTCATTTCTACTTCAGGGGCTCTTGAGAGTTCAGAAAAGAGCAGCAACACTGCAGCCTAGGTTAGTGTCCTTCAGATCTTAAAATTGAGAGTGAATTAACATGAATTACAAGTTCTCACTTGAAAATTTGAAGTTTCAGTGTTTTTATACTGAAAAACTTATCTGTGTTTCATACAGATAGGAACTCTAGATGAACATCCTGATTTTAACTCATAGAAAGGTGAGGTGGTTGGTTAAACTGAGGTTAAATACTCTGGGGAGTTCTGTAGCTCTTTTTTTTTTTTTAAGTACTGGGGATTGAACCCAGGGGCTCTCAACCACTGAACCACATCCCAGCCCTTAAATATTTTATTTAGAAACAGGGCCTCACTAAATTGCTTAGGGCCTTACAAAGTTGCTGAGGCTGGCTTTGAACTCACGATCCTCCTGCCTCAGCCTCCTGAGCTACTGAGATTACAGGCATGTGCCACTGTGCCCAGCTTTTGTAACTCTTCTCCATCCTTTAACTGTATGTTACTAGAACAGAGTTGAGTATGTAAAACTTTGTAAATATTTACCCAGAGGTGTCATAGCTCCCATAATCAGAAAATTTGATAACAAAGTAAACCGAATCACACTAAAACCAATAGAGGAGATTGATACCTAAAGAATGAGTCTTGGGTAAGCTTTTTGGCAATTAAGAACATTTAATCATTCTTTAATTCATGATTTACAACTTTAAATTTCTACAGATAGTGTGCTTATCCAGTGTGTTAGTCTGCTTTCTATTAGTTTAAGAAAATACATAAGGTTGGATACTTTATAAAGAAAAGAAGTTTATTTAGCACTCAGTTCTGGAGATTCAAAAGCAGGATGTTGTCATTGGCTCAACTTTGATGAGGACCCTCTTTACTATGTCATGTGGTAGATGTATCATGGTGAGAGCATGTATGATAGGGAGAGCTCCCATAGGTTGACAAAAAGCCAGACAGAGCAATTTAAGAGTCAAGCTCCCTCTTTTATAATAGTCTGCTCTCATGAGAACTAACTCAGTCTCATGAGATCTCCATTTATCACCTCCAAATACAGTGTCCCTGGTAATGTAATAAATTCCCAGGCCCCACCTCTTAAAAGTCCCACCACCTGCTGCATGTAATCCCAGCAACTCAAGAGGCTGAGACAGGAGTATCACAAGTTCAAGGCCAGTCATGGCAAGTTTAAATAAATAAGAAGGGCTGGGAATATAGCTCAGAGATCGAGTGCCCCTGGGTTTAATCCATAGTACCTCAAAAAGAGAATAAGATAAAGCCTAGTACTTTAAAAAATAAAAAATGTCCCACCACCTCTAAATATTACCACACTGGGGACCAAATTTCCAACACATTGAACCTTTGGGGGGACATACTCAAGCCCTATTCAAACCACAACATCCAGATATTAATATATACAATTTAAAGTGTAACAAATGAATGTCAGGAAAAGACCAATTAAGTAATTGTTACTGAGCAGCTATTTCTACATAACTGTCACCCTGATATAAAAGGAAAGCATATAATTCCAGTGACTTGGGAGGCTGAGGTAAGAGGAATGAAAGTTTGAGGTCAGCATGGCAACTTAGATCTTGTCTCAAAATAAAAAATGAAAAGAGCTGGGGATGTAGTTTTGTGGTAGATTGCCATTTTCCTAGCATGCATGAGGCCCTGGGCTCAGTCCATAGTACTACACACATGCACACTTTAAATGTCTTGCTAAGTATAACCAGGCTTAGGAAGTAGTTCAGTAGTAAGGCATCAGGGTTCCAGTAGCCAACGAAAGTAGTCCTCTCTCTTTTTTGCAAATTCAAACATATAGGATTTGTTTATAGGGTCTTCCTGATATGACTCTCTCCTTTACCCAAGATGTAGTGGATAAATGAACATCCTGTGTTCTTTCTAACTTTTCTCTTTTATCCTATGTAGGTGTTCACATGCATAGCTACTCGTGTGTGTGTGTGTGTGTGTGTGTGTGTGTGTGTGTGTGTGTCTGTCTGTTTGGTACTGGGGATTGAACCCAGGGACTCTATCACTGAGCTACATCCCCGGCTCTTTTTAAATTTTTTACTTTAAGACAGGGTTTTGCTAAATTGCCCAGGCTGGCCTTGAACTTGGATCCTCTTACCTCAGCCTCCCAAGTAACTGGGATTACAGGTGTGCAATACTGCACCTGGCAACATGGCTACTTAGCACTGCTTTTTTAAAGCAACAAATATATTCCTTTTCTTGTCTGAAAATTAGGGAAGCTTTTGGGTTTTGTAAGAAAGGCCAGTTTCTAATAAAGCACAGTTAATCTGTTCTAAATGCTGAATGTATACCAAGAGGGTATATTCTTTCTAGTGGCCTGATTAAAAATATATTTTCAGGCCTGGGACTGTGGTTGTGGTTCAGTGATAGAGCACTTGTCTAGCATATATAAGACCCTGGGTTTGACTCCCAATGCCAAACAAACAAACAAACAACAACAACAAAAAAAAAAAACCACAATATATATATATAAATAAGAAGGGCTGGAAATATAGCTCAGAGATCGAGTGCCCCTGGGTTTGTTTAATCCATATATATATATATATATATATATCTCTCTCTCTCTCAATAAAGTGACTATGACTGTTGATCTGGAAATCAACTTATTAAAGCTTTGGAAATAATATACAAAGGTTATGAGAATTCTTTCTGATGTTTCTGCAGTTTCATTTTTCATAATAGTTTTTCAAAGAAAATTCATTCTTCATAATAAAAGTTTTCCAAAGCCTCTTGTCTTTCTTGCTTCCATCAGATAGCTTCATTTTTTGGATGCATTGAAGAATCGCGGTTTAATGTAATCCTTATACATAGAATAGAGAACACCTAGAAACAAAGATGTACATCAATAGAGAATCCATGGAAAACAATTGCTGAACTTCTCCCACTTGTATTTATCTGAAATTAGCCCTAGAATATGAAAATAATTCATTTACTAATATTTTTGGCTCCCTTAAAAAGTCCTTTAAGATCAGTATCAGTCTGAAGTTATGCTGTTTCTATATCACCCTAAAGTTTTTTAAAAAAAATATTGGTGGGATGCTAGGAAAGAAGGCAAATTTGACCAGCTATTAAGAAAAGGAAACATAGGCCTCTCAATTTAGCAACCACTTATTCAGTGTCTACTTGTGCTTATTATCCTAAGGAAAATAAAGGTGAATGGCTCTGATCCCTGACCCTGGGGATTTACAATCTAATTGGGTGAGTTAGCTTTTAGGCAGATGATATGTATGGCTTTCTCAAGGTCTTGGGGCCATGCTAAAGGAGGGAAGCAGCTGGGGTTTCTTTGGAAGAGGAAAGATGTTTCTATGAATTCCTGGATCTCAGCAAATGCTTATCCACAAAAGCAAGTTAGGGGGTCATTAATTTAAACTATCTGATTGTCTGAATCCTTCATGTTTCTTCTGATTTCTTTCTGAGACTGCTTGTTAAAATCTTCATAGAGTACACAGAGGATAAAAGGTCAATAAGTTGTTCTGGAATCTCCACATGATGGTGTATTGAGGTATAAGTCTGCATAATTTTGTAATGAAACACTGCTAGAATTGGTGGATACAAGTCTAGCCCAAAAATGTTTAATTTGAGCAGGACATGGTGGCATATACCTGTATAATCAGTGATTTGGGATGTTGTGGCAGGAGTATCCCAAGTTTGAGGCCAGTCTCAGCAATTTAGGAAGACCCTCAGCCACTTAGTGAGACTCTGAAAAAATAAAAAGGACTGGAGTTGTAGCTCAGTGGTAAAGACCCCTGGGTTCAATTAA